GCCCAATTTCATTATCTCTCTTACTCTTCTAATGATTTGATCATGTGTTGATTAATCTTATTTAACTCTAACTTTAAATAACTTAATTAGATTCCCCGAAAGATGAGTTATTTTTGTTATGTTGATTTACTTTTAATACTTTTTTTGTGTTCATTTATTTTACTAATAAAGATCTTATATCATTAATTGAATTAAAACTCTTTGCTATTAAAAAGAACGTTATTTAATGTTTTTTTTAACACACTTTTAGTTCGTTTAAAATTGTTTCAAGTTAAAGTCTCTCCCAAATAAACTTTTAAAAAGCCTTTTCAATTAATTAAAATAAAATACTTACTTGGTCATTTTCTCAAAAAGGGTCAGTCAATTATTTTAAAATGATGTTCATGCTTTAATTTATTAAATTGGTTTAAATTGTTATTTCAAAATGAATTAAATAAATTCTAATTAATCTAGTTTTATTAATATTCTAATCACTTGTATTTCAAGTGAAATGCTTCATTTTTGGGTCCCTTTCTCTAAAAAATAAAAAAAATAAAAATGTGTCATTTATTTAGTTATTTTCTCAAAGTTAATCAAATATATTGTAAGTTATTATTTTTACGCTAAATCATCATTTTCCTAAAAATTAGTCGAAACATGTTTTGGTCAAGTCACAGGTCAACCGTAAGTTAGCGGGCACTTCGAATGCTTAAACCCTTCTCGAAGTGTAAATTGAACCCCGAACCCTCTTTGGTATTTTTCAAATGATTTTTTCTGTTTAAATCTTTGAAAATTACAAGTTTTCTTAATTTCTTTAAAAAAATTAAGTGGCGACTCTTTCTAAGTATTTTTCAAATTGTTTTATACTTAGAACATTTCAAAAAGTGATTATTCTAAATACGGTAAAATTACGGCAGAACATGTGTATTCTTTATGTATATCACTGTATACAGGCCATATTTAGGCTCGTTTCGTGTATATTGGGTTGTATACCACATGTATACAACCTGAATCTGACTTCCAAGCATCTGCCTCAATGTCTTCTTTTGCTTTGGGCGAAGACTCGAGATATAACACGATTGGGCCTCCGTGGCCCATTTTGAGTGAAAATAGGAAGGTAAGGAATTCAAAGAACTCGACCATAGCCATAAGACAATGAAGGGAAATGAATTAGTAAAAATTCAAACCGAACTAGAAATATATAGATAAAATGAAACACAATACAATTTTAGTAAATAGGGATCAATACCAATTTTATTTTTTTTAAATGAACAAGGCATACAATAATAAATTGGCCGAGCTTAAAGTATAACAGAAACATGGAGAAAATTTGTGCAACAGGAGAAATAAGATCAAATTTAAGGATGATAAAATACTTACATGCTAGTCATCAACAAATTCATTGAATGTTATTCAAGTATTCCAAATGGCTTAAAGAGATGGCATCAAATTAGCAAGGATCTCAATCAAAGGACATATTCTTGAAAGTAACCCACATGCTACAAATTTAAGAGAAGTGTTCTGTGGGAACATTTAAAAAAGGAAGAAAAAAAAGCATGCTTGATGAGCCTATTTTTCCAAATCCATCATGGTAAAGACTCAAATCTTTCTAACTTAATCTTAATCTCGACTTCGCCAAATAACTCACATAGCACCAAAGAATAACATTGGTTGGAAATAATGGATACTAATAGCTCACGCTGAATCCAAAAATACATTTTTTTAAGTCATCACAAAAGCAAACTTTCGAAGAGGGGTATTTAACCATATTCAAGGTCCCATTTCTATCCACAAGAGAATCGTAAGTGACTAAGATAAGCACAGATTATGATAAGGTTCAATACTAAATCAAAGTGACAAGATCTTAGAAATGCTCAAACCGAAGAAGCTTAAATTATGCTCTGAAGCTCTTGTCCAAAATTTAAGTTTTTATATTAATAGGACAACTCTAACCAAACCGAATCATGATTTTAGCATACTATCATGGGAATTTCAGCTTAAACATGTAAAAACAAGTAGACGCATATCTAGAGCCGATATAACAGTAGGCCTATGATCTAACTAAACAAGATCATGACGGGCTACTAATATAACAATGCTAACCGAAAATTGGCAGCCATAGACAACATTCCAGTTGTGCAAGAATAGCTACGAGTCTCACGAGATATTCTACCATTGATGAGAGTCTGCTAACACATAATTGAAACGACAAAGAAGGCGACTAAAACACAAGCAAATAGTGAAGAAAACAAGTCTATATAGCTAACACATTCGAAGTCGAAGCCGAACGAACATCCAAACTATTTTAAGCATGATAAGGCAGTGGCTCAGCTGACTATAAAAAGTAAAATCGAGCTAACAAATTGCAATGACCAATGTGATCTCCAAAGTGATTTCACTGATGCTTATTAACAAACATTCATAACTCAAACTCACAGAAGAGTAAAGCCAAAGCAGAAACCAACTTCACTTAACAAAATGGGTACAGAGAATGTGGTGTAACCCACCATATAGAAATAGAAGGTGAGAGGGGGCAGGATTACCTTTCTTGGAGCAGCAATTGGGACAACGGACTAAAGAACAGTGACTTCACCACAAACCGAGCTTCACCGAATTTCGACGAGCTTTGCCAAACAGTGAGCAGAAGAAAAAAAAGGAAAATGAAATCTCCTATCTTTTGCAAACTAGCGATTCTTTTCGTATTCTTTCCTTAGTATATCTTTTTCCACTCTAACCTCTAATTATTTTCTCTAACCCAAAATTTTCCAACTTCGAAAAATCTCTCCCCCTCCACAAATGGACAAAAAAGATGTTATATAGGAGGAAATTAGGTAGATTTTTTTGGGGGGGGGGGGAATTCTTTTCACAATTCGGGGGAGACATCCTTTCTCTGAAAAATTCGCCCCATTCCGGAAGAGAAAAGGGGAGAAACGCGTGCCCTGCTCCTCTGCTCGCGATGTACGACTTGAGAGGGACACGGGAGAAGACGACAAGGGATTTGACGCCGTGTCCTTCCTTTGTGAACGTTGGAGATAGGACGCCGTGTATTTTGCTGTAATGTTAGCTGCTATTGGTTGTCGTTTTGGAGCTGATGCTAACGTTTCTGGGAAGAGCGTTGCTGGGTTGTTTTAGTATGCTGTATGTATGCTGGGTTGCTGATTGTATTGTATTGCTGTATTGGGCCTGGGTTGTTGAGGTATTGGGCTGGGCATGGGTATTGTTGTTGTTATTAAAGAATTGGTCTTGTTGGGCTGCTGGAAAAGTTAGAAAAGGGCCCAAATTTAGTCCTTTAAGTGGCTTTAAAGGTGAGGGTAAATAAGAAGCTAGATTTGAAATTAAGACATGGCCAAATGAATTACAAAATTAGCCAACTTGTTAACCAAATTGAGTTTAACTTGTGAATTTGGCTTAAATTTAAATAGGACGAACTAATATAATCAACTAACGAGCTTCTTAATTTCAACGAAATAAAATAATAAACTCGATTATGAAGTAATTAATTTAAAATAGAAACTAATTGTAATCATAATTGAAATTAAACTAAATTAAAGAACATTCGACTTAAAATGTGAAATCGTTTTTGAGAAGATTTTTAAATATTGATAAAATATACTAATTACATACATAATTATGTAAAATATATATATTATTTAAAAATTATAAAAATGATAAAATTAATTAAAAAATAACTGGAAAAAATATTTTGAATTTTATAAAGTCAATTATTTCGAATCGTTTGGAATTTAAGAAACTCGATGATTAATATATATTGTGGAGGTCCAAAATTGGGTGTCAACAAGTACATTTTATTCTGATATTATATATTATACCTTATCTCTCATACCAAACGATCGGAGGTTAGATTAGTTCTTCTCTGTGATTCTTTTTAATAGGGTATAGTTTCTTGCTATAGAAATAGTAGCTGCTCTTTTCTCTCTTCATATTATAAATGTAGACTTGAATTGGATCCATCTCCATACGATTCATGTCACCCTCTATACTCTAGTATATAATTTGATAATTATACCTTTTTTTTTTGGTTTCCAACCCGGTGTCCGGAGCCCATATTAGAGCTCCGACTAAATTCGGATCGCGCTCTGCAGGGCCCATTCAGGGGTGGCGCTCCTAACATGATTTTCTCCATACCCAGGGCTCGAACCCGAGACCTCAGGTTAAGGGTGGAGCACTTCACCAGTGCACCACAACCCATGTTGGTTGATAATTATACCTTACTTCGTTGTAATTGAATTTACTTTGTCTTTATTTAAGATCCGCCACACCCTAATTACATATCTAAAGAAATATATATATATATGCGCATTTAGAGATTGCAAAATTAGAATCCGCTCAATCCATCCCATTTTTTAGCTTATTCAAACCTATTTCAGTCCATAAAAAATTGGACTAATATGTTACTCAAATTGTCTTATGAAAAATCTTGTCAAAATATGAATATGTTTGTATAACCAGAATAAATGAAAATAAAATATTATCAAGTACTATTTTTCCCCTTTTTATATATATAAAAGAATCAAATATAACAATTAAAATTTGGTAAATTTAGTTTAAGTTATGATTTATATTTTAGTCCGATTTAATTTGATCTATTCAAATTTAATTCAGTCAGTCTATTAATTTGCACCTCAGTATGCATCATTGTTAAGGTATTATTAAGAGCAAAAAGTTGTTTAAAACTTGCAAACGGCTTGTTAAGTTTGGTATTTTCACTTTATTTAAGTACGGAAAAGACTTTTTTTTTTATTCCTTAATAGTATAAGGTATGAAGCAGAAGTTTTAGCTAAGCTAACTTTATCTCTAGGAAAAGAAGATACTTAAACCTTACCCAACAATTAAAGCCAAGAACCCACACACTTCCTCCTCATAACACACCTTCTAAAATACCCTTCACACATCTGCTACTCTAGAAAAAATAAAAACCTTTGAGTACTCCTCCTAATGTTGTCACTCTGTCACCACTCTCAACCACCACCACCTACTGACCACACATGTCGGTCTTAGTAAAATCTAAAAGACCTACTCATCAATCAAGCTAAGGACGAAAGTCGGCCTTAGTAATCTGAAGGTGTTAAGTGAAATTATTTGACTCATATTCATCAAGAAGGAACAAAAGTCAACCTTAGTGATCTGATAGTGCTGAGTGGAGAATTTCAAGATATTCTACTCATACCAATGCCAAAGCCGGTTTTAGGCCCAGAACGGCGCACCAATCCACTAATTTGGTGTGCAGCTATAATCTGCACACTCTTGACCATAGCCGTGATCATCACGGGTATGGTCGTATTCATTGGGTACATGGTGATCCGACCCAAAGTACCACAAATGAGTGTAGTAAGTGCACATTTAGACAAATTTTCATATGACATGGCAAGTGTCCTAGTAGTCAAAGTCTCAATTGTAATCAAGGCTGAAAATGACAATTCAAAAGCCCACGCTAATTTCTACGAAACAAGTTACACACTTAGTTTCCATGGTGTTAAAATCGCGTATTTAAACGCTGATCCTTTTGATGTACCTTCAAATAAGTCGATTGACTTGTATTATCCTGTTGAGTCATCGCCAATTCCGTTGAAACCCGAAGATGGAGAAATTGCTGAATTATTTTTGAGAAGGGGACAAGTTGTTTTTGATATAAGAGGAAATACAAGAACTAGGTGGAGAGTAGGGATTCTTGGTTCTGTTAAATTTTGGTTGCACTTAAATTGTCAACTTAAGTTTCCTTTGAATGGAACTACAATTTATCCAAAATGCAGCACAAAATCCAGATGATCATTTGATTGGGAGTTCAACAACTTAGGTATTTTTTGTTGTTTAATAATTAGTAATCATCACTTAATTATCTTGTTATTTTGATTGATTTTTGTTTTTTTGGATGTAATTAGATTCTTGAAAGAAGTAATCATCAATATTCTACCTTTGAGAACATAATACAATATGCTATATTTAATTTTCTAGCTACTTTAATTATGATGGAATATGAATTAGAATATATGTATTTAAGGATTATTTTAAATTGAAATATGTTTTTATCGAATTAATCTATTAGTTTAATAACATATTTGAAATTTGAAATGGAAGGAGTACTTTTTTTTTTTCTCAAATAGCAACCAAAATCATGTCCAGACCTCCTTAGTATTTTATGTATTTCTTCTGGAAAAAAGGTTTAACATTATACTTCCTCTAATTTATAGTATCCGGCTTCTAAGAACTTTTTGTTTTGTTTTTTTCATCCGGTATTCTATATCTGTATTGGAAGAAATTTTCATACTCAGCTTCTAAGAATTGTACACACTTAATAGCCAATATCAATGAAATATTTGTTTTTAAAATGTCGTTCTTCCTTATTTAATAAACTTCACTAATTATTGAAAAAGAATTAAGATCTCTAGGTCATTTACAAAATGAACTGGGCTCATGTGTAAAAATAAAGTGACTATGGTCTTACATTTGAAAATTGAAAATCAACTTTTTCATATTCCAACGAACGACAAAAGGTTAAAAGAAAGATCCCATCTTAATGAAGAAGTAAAAGAGAACAATTTGAAATAATTGGCACCTTTTTAAGAGTAATATATATATATATATATATAATATGTAACACTAGGGAAAAAGTAATAGTAAAAAGCCATTGTGCGGAAGCTTTCTGCCTACTTTGTCCACAAGCAACCAAAAGTGAGCTAATTAGTGGCCCATACATGCAATTTTTTGCTCTCGTCTTAACCATTAAGTAATCTAATATTTCTTCCGTTCCATTTTATCTAATATAATTTAATTTGACATAAAAAAAAAGAATTAAAAAACAATTGAGACTCGTGATCTCAAATGATTGACAAATATCTTGTAGTTATACATCATTTTATTAACATTTCTTTTGTAAATTATAATTTTATCAAGCAATTTAAATATATTTAGTGTTTTAAAATACGTTTATATTTTATATTACTTTATTCGTGTGACCTATTTTATTTAATAAGAAAAATGGCACTTCACTTTCCACCAAAAAAGCAAAAGGAAGGAAAAGGAAAGGAGAAAAAAAATGGAGGGAATTAAATTGAAAACTTTTAAAAGTATTAAAAAAGTATATAGTTTTACAAGTTACAATCCAATTTACTAATTCCCCACTCACCTTTTATTAACTACACTTAGGTATAAAATAATTTTCTTGGAGAGTAGTCTATTTCTCTACCTTTCTTTTTTCGTGTCTATTTTTCGACCATGGAAAAAAAGTTTCTTTTTCCTACGTTTTCATCACTCATGCTTTATCCCTCACATTTTCACTGAAAAAAGAAAGATAACATAAACAAATTAATTTTAAGCTTTTCATATTATATTTAATAAAATTATGTAGTCACATAAACATTTTGGGTCATAAGTTTCAGAAGATAATATTACTTTAAGGGCTTGTTCGTTACGAGAAATAAGAAACAATTAATTTTAGTATATAAAATCAAGGGATAACTTAATTTCGAAATTATTTATCTCTAGATACAGTGCTATTTTCATTTCAAATTAAGAATGAAATAGCAATCCTAAGATAATTAATCTCAAATTTACTTATTCTCCAATCAAAGTAGCAATAGCTTTGGCCCATTTTCATCCTTGTCAAGCTATGTAGACACTAAGGAGTCGTTTGGTAGGAAGTACTAGGAGAAATAGTCCATGTATTATGTATGGTATTAATTAGTACTATGTTTGGTAGAATTTTTGGGTCTAAGTATAATTAATCCATGGATTAGTTATACATCCTACATGGTATTATTGTATGTATTACTAATACTTTCCATTTGGTGGTGTTGACACCCAATTTTGACCCTCCCCGATGAAAATTAGTCTTCGAGCTTCTTCAATTTCAAACGATTTAAAATAATTAGTTTTATAAAATTCAAAATATTTTTCAAGTTATTTTAGTTTTGTCACTTTTTATAATTTGTAAATAATATATATGCTTTACATAATTATGTGTGTATTTTCATTTGTTTTTATACATATTTTTAAGTGGTCGTAAATTAATTCATCTTATTTAATTACTAGTCGAACTCATTCTAATCTACTAAGTTCAACTACATTTGGCTATAGTTTGAATCCAATTCAATTTTAAGTGACTGAATTTTGGGCCCTTTTTCCCTTTTCCAGCCGGCCCACTCTACATACCCAACACAATTTCTTCAATTACATATCCCATCAGCAGCCCACAACACTTAATCCCTTTGACCCTGACCCGACCCAAATCTCTTTCCTTCCCTTCTTTGTTGTGTTTATGTACTCATTAATATTTGCCGCTAACCTTAAGGTCAAAAAATTCAAATCCCTAGAAGACATCCATTTTGAATTAATCACTTAACTAAATCATATGTTTCTTACTCAACTTAAAAATAAATAAATACATAAGTTTACAAAATACTTCATTTAAATAATATTGCGACATTTTTCTATTTCTCCCTTAAAATGGTCCTAACTACAAAATTTGTTCAATCAAATTAAGTTAAACTACTTTAGCCAAATAAATTAGTTGTCGGATAACCGCATTAGCGGATATTCTAGGTGCTTTAAAAACCTTCCTAGAATATTAATAGGAACCCCGAACCCTCTTTAAGCATTTTCGATTGATTTCCTGTATTAATCTATTGAAAATCAGTTTTCTTGATTTTTCTTAAAATTAAGTGGTGACTCTTAAAACCAATCTAAAAATTATATTTTAAATAAAACAGAATGGCGACTTCCGCTGGGGATTTGAATGGTTCTAACCTTAAGATTAATTTATTTGGCTATCTGTTTTAACTGTCTACTTGTTTTATTTATCGCTTATATTGAATTGTGGCATTCATGGCACCCGATTCCGCCAAACGGCAAATAGATTGCATTAGGAAAAAAGGCGGTTACGTGGCTTACCACGACTGTCCTTCAGAAAAAGCACAACTTGACATTCTTTGGAAGTGATAAACGAATAGTTGGCTTGTGGTCATCCAACGTCGTTTATTAGACTTCACCCCGTTGTTTGTCTGACTCGGGTAACCGTCATTTCTCAACCAATTCTAGTCAACCTAGAGTAGAGCGAAACCAAATCCAAATCTAAGCATTAGCCTAAGACGGCTTAATACCCAAGCGTATAGTCCATTAGTAAAACCGCCAAAATCATGTCCAAGGTCCATGACCTAACGACATACCATATTATTTGACATTTGAAAGATGTATGTGTGCAAACCTGACTGTTGCCTATTTGGGGGAGGGAATCTTAACTGTGCTTTATTTTGTAGGTATGGATCGATTCCCCAAATTCGACATGGTAGTGGAATCTCCAGTTCTGCTCAAGATGTGGTACAACGACCTTACTATGGTTCACAAAAGGTTCCTCAACAAATATATAGGAGCCCTAACAGAACTCATCAACATGGTTGGTTGGCCCGAGCTTATTGAAGTCCTTACATGCTATTGGGACAACGAGAAAATGGTGTTCCGATTTGTAACCATGGAGATCACCCCAACAATAGAGGAAATTCGGGACGGAATAGAAACAGTCGGTACAAGACTTGAAAGAAGAGTGAGAAAGCATGAAAACATCTTAATCCCTAACAAGCCTACTCTCGAGGATATCGTAAATTGGCTTGGATTAAGAAAAGATTACGCCCACTGGGCAGAAGGTTCTAGCATTTCTTTTATGGATCTATATGCTAGGTTCGGGTATGCGAGCTTTTATGTGAATTACAACCAAGAGTTCAAGGTCACTTTCAGAGAATGGGACGGGATCAGACCTTTGGCATTCACTGTCGCACTAATTCTTGGTTTTCCCACACGGCCCGAGCCTCAGTATCAATACCCGAGTGATAATGTTTGCGCACACTCTGTTCCACGGACATCTGAACCAAGGGAAAGTAAAGTATTATCCTATCGCACCTGTCATCTTTTCCGACATGTACCGTGCTTTGGGAAAATGCAAGGAAAGGCATCATTACTTTCAGGGTTGTAACCTTCTCCTCCAATGGTGGATAATGAGTCACTTGGTAAAGAGACACGGAACTCAAGAACTCCATACCCTCGATAAGCATAACGCTCTTAAGAGTTTGAATGACATGTTATTCTGGGCAGACTTAGAAAAAAGAAGAACCAAAGAAAGATGGACTCAAATTTTTTCTGAGTTGAGAGAAGAAAACATCCGGTGGATGTTCGACCGTTTCATCTCGAAAGATGTCATAGTACGGGGCGACAGACAACTTATGCTTCCTCTGCCGGGTATTCGAGGTATTCGCCCATATGTACCCATCCAGGTCTTGAGACAGTTCGAAAAAGACAGACTACACCTCCAGAAGCATACTACCGTATCTATGTGTTCGACATCGGGGATGATAGAGTGTCTGAGGCTTCAGAGATGCTGAGAGAATGGAAAAAAGCAGTGCGAATGAAGCCGACACCATTGCCGCGATCGATTTAATGCTGGGTACGATGAAACCTACAAAGCTTGGTTGAAGGGTAACATACAGAGAATTTCCTTCTCAGTTCCGAATATTTACCGCAGTGTAGAGGACAAAGGGTCCAAAGCTTTGATAGAACTAAGAGAGGTAAGAAGAGAAGCTTAGGAAATGCACGAGGAATTTCTCTGAAAGCAAGAGGAGGATAAGTACGCCCTCGAGAGCGTAACTCAAGAATTAGAAAGCTTGAGAAGTGATTTGGGAGAGCTTAATTTATGGATTGGGGATAAGAAAAGCGAAATGTGTCTCGAGGACTGGGAAGAGAAAGGCCGTCAGAGCGAAGGATACTTGCTAATGATTCAATATAGGCTTCAACATCTCATAGCACAGAACAAGAGGAGCAGATCAGAGGC